CGACTTGACGGTCGAACTCTCTGCTTTTTTGAGCAGAAAGGAACCCGGACGAGGTTCCGCCGAAGGGCAGAATCTCGTTCGGGGTGAATGACCTACCCTGATCTCGTTTTACGAGTCATACGGGCATATTTTTGGCTGAGCCTACGGGCTCAGGAAACCCACGATAAAAATTACCTTGTGTCGCATGCAACCCTCGTGGTGGGGGTGGCTAGATACTGAATCAAGCCGAGCTTCTCGACTTGACGGTCGAACTCTCTGCTTTTGAGCAGAAAGGAACCCGGACGAGGTTCCGCCGAAGGGCAGAATCTCGTTCGGGGAAAATGACCTACCCTATCTCGTTTTTACGAGTCATACGGGCATATTTTTGGCTGAGCCTACGGGCTCAGGAAACCCACCATAAAAACGACCTTGTGTCACATGCAACCCTCGTGGGGGGTGGCTAGATACCGAATCAATCCGAGCTTCTCGACTGGACGGTCGAACTTTCTGCCTCTGAGCAGAAAGGAACCCGGACGAGGTTCCGCCGAAGGCCAGAATCTCGTTCGGGGTGAATGACCTACACGATCTCGTTTTTTACGAGTTCTACGGGCATTTTTTGGCTGAGCCTACGGGCTCAGGAAACCCACGATAAAAACGACCTTGTGTCACATGCAACCCTCGTGGGGGGTGGGGGGTGGCTAGATACTGAATCAAGCCGAGCTTCTCGACTTGACGGTCGAACTCTCTGCTTTTGAGCAGAAAGGAACCCGGACGAGGTTCCGCCGAAGGGCAGAATCTCGTTCGGGGAAAATGACCTACCCTATCTCGTTTTTACGAGTCATACGGGCATATTTTTGGCTGAGCCTACGGGCTCAGGAAACCCACCATAAAAACGACCTTGTGTCACATGCAACCCTCGTGGGGGGTGGCTAGATACCGAATCAATCCGAGCTTCTCGACTGGACGGTCGAACTTTCTGCCTCTGAGCAGAAAGGAACCCGGACGAGGTTCCGCCGAAGGGCAGAATCTCGTTCAGGGTGAATGACCCTACACGATCTCGTTTTTACGAGTTCTACGGGCATTTTTGGCTGAGCCTACGGGCTCAGGAAACACACGATAAAAACGACCTTGTGTCACATGCAACCCTCGTGGGGGGGTGGCTAGATACCGAATCAAGCCGAGCTTCTCGACTTGACGGTCGAACTCTCTGCTTTTGAGCAGAAAGAAATCCGGACGAGGTTCCGCCGAAGGGCAGAATCTCGTTCGGGGAAAATGACCAACCCGATCTCGTTTTTACGAGTTATACGGGCATTTTTTGGCTGAGCCTACGGGCTCAGGGATCCCACGATAAAACTCGGCCTTGTGCCACATGCAACCCTCGTGGGGGGGGTGGCTAGATACCGAATCAAGCCGAGCTTCTCGACTTGACGGTCGAACTCTCTGCTTTTGAGCAGAAAGGAACCCGGACGAGGTTCCGCCAAAGGGCAGAATCTCGTTCGGGGAGAATGACCTACACGATCTCGTTTTTTACGAGTTCTACGGGCATTTTTTGGCTGAGCCTACGGGCTCAGAAAACCCACGATAAAAACGACCTTGTGCCACATGCAACCCTCGTGGGGGGGGTGGCTAGATACCGAATCAAGCCGAGCTTCTCGACATGACGGTCGAACTTTCTGCCTCTGAGCAGAAAGAAACCCGGACGAGATTCCGCCGAAGGGCAGAATCTCGTTCGGGGAGAATGACCAACCCGATCTCGTTTTTGCGAGTTGTACGGGCATTTTTTGGCTGAGCCTACGGGCTCAGCAAACCCACAATAAACTCGGCTTTGTGCCACATGCAACCCTCGTGGGGGGGGGTGGCTAGATACCGAATCAATCCGAGCTTCTCGACTTGACGGTCGAACTTTCTGCCTCTGAGCAGAAAGGAACCCGGACGAGGTTCCGCCGAAGGGCAGAATCTCGTTCGGCGAAAATGACCAACCCGATCTCGTTTTTACGAGTTATACAGCATTTTTTGGCCGAGCCTACAGGCTCGGGAATCCCACGATAAAACTCGGCCTTGTGCCACATGCAAACCTCGTGGGGGGTGGCTAGATACCGAATCAAGCCGAGCTTCTCGACTTGACGGCCGAACTTTCTGCCTCTGAGCAGAAAGGAACCCGGACGAGGTTCCGCCGAAGGGCAGAATCTCGTTCGGGGAGAATGACCTACCCGATCTCATTTTTGCGAGTTGTACGGGAATTTTTTGGCTGAGCCTACGGGCTCAGGAAACCCACGATAAACTCGGATTTGTGCCACATGCAACCCTCGTGGGGTGGTGGCTAGATACCGAATCAAGCCGAGCTTCTCGACTTGACGGTCGAACTTTCTGCCTCTGAGCAGAAAGGAACCCGGACGAGGTTCCGCCGAAGGGCAGAATATCGTTCGGGGAAAATGACCAACCCGATCTCATTTTTACGAGTTATACGGGCATTTTTTAGCCGAGCCTACGGGCTCGGGAATCCCACGATAAAACTCGGCCTTGTGCCACATGCAACCCTCGTGGGGGGGGTGGCTAGATACCGAATCAAGCCGAGCTTCTCGACTTGACGGTCGAACTTTCTGCCTCTGAGCAGAAAGGAACCCGGACGAGGTTCCGCCGAAGGGCAGAATCTCGTTCGGGGAGAATGACCTACCCGATCTCGTTTTTGCGAGTTGTACGGGCATTTTTTTGGCTGAGCCTACGGGCTCAGGAATCCCACGATAAACTCGGCCTTGTGACACATGCAACCCTCGTGGGGGGGTGGCTAGATACCGAATCAAGCCGAGCTTCTCGACATGACGGTCGAACTTTCTGCCTCTGAGCAGAAAGGAACCCGGACGAGGTTCCGCCGAAGGGCAGAATCTCGTTCGGGGAGAATGACCTACCCGATCTCGTTTTTTGCGAGTTGTACGGGCATTTTTGGCTGAGCCTACGGGCTCCAGCAAACTCTAATAAACTCGGCTTTGTGCCACATGCAACCCTCGTGGGGGGGGCTAGATACCGAATCAAACCGAGCTTCTCGACTTGACGGTCGAACTTTCTGCCTCTGAGCAGAAAGGAACCCAGACGAGGTTCCGCCGAAGGGCAGAATCTCGTTCGGGAAAATGACCAACCCGATCTCGTTTTTACGAGTTATACGGGCATTTTTTGGCTGAACCTACAGGCTCAGGAATCCCACGTTAAAACTCGGCCTTGTGCCACATGCAACCCTCGTGGGGGGGTGGCTAGATATCCGAATCAAGCCGAGCTTCTCGACTTGACGGTCGAACTCTCTGCTTTTGAGCAGAAAGGAACCCGGACGAGGTTCCGCCGAAGGGCAGAATCTCGTTCGGGGAAAATGACCAACCCGATCTCGTATATACGGGTTATACGGGCATTTTTTGGCCGAGCCTACGGGCTCGGGAAACCCACGTTAAACTCGGCCTTGTGCCACATGCAACCCTCGTGGGGGGTGGCTAGATACCGAATCAAGCCGAGCTTCTCGACTTGACGGTCGCACTCTCTGCCTCTGAGCAGACCTGGACAATAACACAGAGTGTCTCATATCCGGAATTCCTCATATCCGGAGTGCCTCATATCCTGAGAGCCTCATATCCGGAATCCCGCATATCCAGACTGGATTATAATGTGTATATTTGAACTATTTGTGTGATATGTAACTGATTTGAAATTTCTGTTTTTACGGGAAATTTACTTTGGATAATTGCTTATGCTTATTTCACCCTAAAGGCTTTTATTGGCGCGAAAGATGATGGTAATAAGAGGAAAAAAACAACTTTAGAGTTATCGCAAAACGTGAACATTTTAAACAGACCAGACGCTGGTGAAAGTTCATTGTAACTAATGGCTGAGTTCAACATAGGAAAGTCAACATTGGATGATATAAAATCTTCCACAGAAACTATTCTCCAGCGTTCACACTGTCACAATGAACAAGAAAATAAAAACCATGATTATGATGAAAACTGAACTGAAATTGAAAAAGCTATTGAAAAGGATGTCAGTTTTATGGAAATAAAACTAGCATTCATCAATGACGATTACAATAACGCACGCAGACTTAAAAATGTGTCTTTCGTTTAAAAAAATTTCAAGAACAAAAGCCAAACGAAATGCGGAAAAAGTTGAAAATAACATTAGAAGAGAAAGACTCATCATGCAACAGAGATTAAAAGAATCCTTGTTATATTATTTGTTTTGCATGCGTAGCGTACTTAATTTAAGGAATTTTCAGTAATATTACATAATTTATTTCTTTTTCCTTAAAATCAATTCCGTTATATTTCATTCACTAGCTTATTTTGTTTGCTGTAAAAATAAATGTTAAACCTAATTTCAGTTCTTTTATTTTAAAAATAAATATAACCCCTCATACCCAGACTTTGTAACCAATTCCTCATATCCGGAATCCCTCATATCCGGAATCCCTTATATCAGGAATCCCTAATATCTGGATTTTGTAACCAATTCCTCATATCCAGAAGGCCTTCGTAGTCCGGTTGTCAGAAATTCTACTTTATTCTAAATTTGCAATGTCAGAAAAAAAAAGTGGGAAAAATGTATTTATATGCAAATCTCCACCATTTAAGTATCAGTTCAACAGCTGGTGGCTGAACTAGTACCGACCTTGAAGACTAAACTACTAGAGAAGTAGGAGTGAATACTTCTAGCTAATTATAGCTTACAATATTAGTCAGACAAGTCCTTCAGGTTCTGTTAACAATGTATTTAGCGATGGTTTTTATTGATTGGTTGACCTGTTTTTACGGCTTATCAACCCTTTGCAGGTTACTTAAAACGATGAAATAATTTTAGATTGCATGATTTTTTTCAAAATAATAATAGTAATAAAAGTCTTACTAATTAAACCATAGCTGGGGGTGGGGAATGTTAGGGTATTTACGTGTAAGTGAATATAATGAACACAACATAAAATAGAACTCGGACCTCCGATTCACAATTTCGAGCGATTAAGCATTACACCACCTGTACTCCCCGTCTTACAGCAACTTGTATTTCCAAGTGGTCACTCATTAACGTACTGACCAGACTCGACGTGGCTTAACTTCGGTGATCGTCCAGGAACCGGTGTTTTAACAAAAACTTTTCCCATCTATGCCACAGGTTTTCATATATATATATATATATATATAGTAAAAAAAGGAAGAACTGTAAGATATGTAATCCGGTGTTCTTATTGATATTTTTATTTTAACAAACTCGCTTGAAGATGAAACAGAAATAATTCTTTTAATTTAATATAATTTAATTTGAAGTGTTTGTTTTCTTTTTTTGAAACATGGTAATTCCTGTGTAGCGGTGAAACCATATTTTTAAATCAGTTAATATATACAGTGTAACCCGGATATAAGAGAACCCCAGATATAAGAGAGATTTTCTCTGGTCCCAAATTAGAGCCATACTTACCTAAACAAAATAGACCAAACCCGGATATAAGAGAAACCCGGATATAAGAGACTTCTTCTCCGGTCCCGACAACTCTCTTATATCAGGGGTTACACTATATATATATATATATATATATATATATATATATATATATATATATATATATATAAGATTGGTGTTTACGGAATAAATTCCAATAACAAAAAAATACTGTTCTTAAAAGAGTGCTCAATACAGAGTAGAGAATATAATGTATTCGAAAATTATAACAGAAATATGTTATAAAATCACTACAAAAATAGGCATTTTGTTTCAACGCTTCTGGTTTCTTAACAAGTGATGGTGTTGTAAAAGGTTCAAATCAACCAAACACACCTCGCTTGGGGAAACGCTGTTACATAAGCTGCAATAACCAATCAAAATACAAGTATATGAGAGTTCAAAAAACTTGACAACTTGGTTTAATGTTAGGGTTAGACTAAAATAGAATACATTCTAACTAATTAATATTAAATTTTACTATAAAATTGAATATTAAAAATTACCATTTTTAAATTTTAAATTTAATCTGTATTAAGTTTAATATATTATAAATTTATTTAATGAAGAAAGTGAGGGAAAATACATATATTTTCTTATTTATTTTGTTTTAACTGAAAAGCCAAAATCTCAGAATAAACGTTAATCTAAAAAACATCAAATTCAAATGTCCTGGCAAAATGCAAAACTTAAAATAAAATAAAACTAGTGATAATTTTGACACCTCAGTGGGTTCTTTAGATTCTGTTGAAGCCTCTAACTTGGTGGGATTATTTCTTTTATACAATTCAAGGGTCTTTGAATGACTAGATTCTGGTATTTAACTCTACTTATATTTTTAGAATTTTTCAGAACATTTTCAAAATGAAAACAAAATTTTTCGTATGATATTTTTTTTTTGGCGTGAGCCTCATCTATACATATGCATGTCGGATGTGTTTATTGTAAAGAAGAAAAGAAAAAATATACAGATTCTAACTTACACTGTTATTTGCCAGACTCAGAGAAATGAGTCTACTAAATGGTGGGCGTGTTTTATCATATAACCGAACTGGCCTGGTTTGATAACAGGAAGACTTTAGGCAGTCGAATGTCTCAATCGATGTTGACACAGGTAGAATGGAATTCTCGCCAAGCTGATCCCTTTCCGTCTTCATATTCACAAACTTTTGCTGCCCAACTGAAATTACATCATCATCATAATTTACATGTTTTCATTATACGAACACACACACACATATATATATATATTGTGTATTTAGGCAGCAATTCTTCATTTATACATGTTTCATTAAAGACGTCGGACAAGGTACTACGATTAAACATTTATTTAATTTTTCTTGTGTTCGAACAGGTGTTTTCTTTTCTGGACACAGAGTCTGTAGAAACTGCCCAAATGTCCAAACGTACACACAGCGCATACACGCAATTAAAAATTTAAAATAAAATCAAACTTGATAATGGCTAAACGTATAGCCGAAAGCGCTAGGAATTACAGAATAATTGGATAGTTTCCACACACTCTGTGTCTAGAAAAGAAAAGAATTGTTCGAAATTAAAAATAAAATTAAATAAAAAAGCTTAATTGCAGTACCATGTCTGCCGTCTTTAAAAAAACACACACACACAGATATATATATATATATATATATATATATATATATATATATATTGATAATATTAGTGGTAAATATATATATATATATATTGATAATATTAGTGGTATATATATATATATATATATATATATATATATATATATATATATATATATATATATTGATAATATTAGTGGTATATATATATATATATATATATATATATATATAAATCCCCAAGAGGATAGAATCCAGGTAGAACTGAACGTTCAGGACATAGTAAGAACATATATATATATATATATATATATATATATATATATATATATATATATATATATATATACACAGTCGTGGAAATAAGTGTAAGACACCCCATGAAATCGTTAATAATTTTCTTATTACTGCACAAATTCCTTTGAAAATTTCTGTGTGGTACCTAGATTCAATGTTATTAGTATACATATCCAATTTTATATCTTCTTTCCACCAAAAAAAGTTATTAAGTAAATTGTTAAGAAAATACGTTTTCGAGGGTGAAAATAAGCATAACAGTGTTTTGAAAAGTTATATTTAACAGCAAAATTATACAAAATTCAATATTTACATTTATTCCCTTTCAATTGTAATACGTCCACAGACCTGTTTTGCATTGAATCAATAAGTTTTCTGAGAGTTTCAGATGAAATTTCATTCCAATACTGTTTAATGCAAGATTTTAAAGTTTTTCTCTTCAAATTAACATTTATTTTTGTATACTCTTCTTGACAAAATTCCCCACAAATTTTCTGTTGGGTTTAAATCTGTAGGTTTAGTGGGCCAATCCAACACTTCAATATTTTTTTGTTTTAAACCAGTCTTTTGTTAGCTTAGAAGTGTGTATGGCTGCGTTGTCCTGCTGAAAAATGGCATTATTGGTGTTTAGGCAATTCATAAATAAGATAAGACTTTTTTCCAACACATTGATATATCGAGCAGAGTTTTGTTTCCCTTCCATCTCTACTAAATCAGCCTTTCCAGACGTAGAAAAAGCTCCTCAAAACATTGTAGATCCTTGTTATAGTGGAACACACCTATTCTATAGTTAATAGACTCTCCCACCTATAATAAGTAGGAGTAGTAGCAGTCGCTAAGTCGCTCAGTCAGTCGATGTCGGACGACCGTTAGTCGGATACTAAAAAGTATCAGCGACCACCACTAGATTTCTCTGCGTCATTACCTATTATATCAAGTTCCTAATGTTTTGTACGTTGAACCTATTTAAGGACCGACTTAGTACAAATACAAGCCTCCACTGTGAAATAATTCCACAACAATCCTTCTCCAAATGGTCTTTTTGAAAACAGCTGCTTCTTCTTTCTTAAATCATGCCAATAACACCGATATCCGTCGGACCTATCCAAATTAAACTTTTTCCCATTTCTCCTTTGTCCATGTTACTTTTTCTTTACCCAATCTAAGGGCATCTTTTGTGTTTAGCAGTTAAAGCAGGGGCTGTCTTCCTGTTTCGATACACGAGATTTGGCGATTCATGGAGAAGTTGACGAACTCTTCTTGGAGTGATGGGTAAATTCTGAAAATTTTGCAGATCTCTTCAGCTTGATTGTCCTTTAGAAGCTTCTTGAAAAAGTCAATGTCTGGCTGCATTTGTAATTTTAGGTGGACGACCTGGACGTTTTCTGGTGCCATACGATTCAGGGTCCTTTAAATAATTTTTCACAAGTGTTCGGGACCTTGACAGTTCATTTGCAACGAATCTTACAGATTTAGATTCCAGTTTATAGGCAAAAATTTGCCCTTTTCATTTTCATTAAGGGGGTAGTTCCTAAGCATTTTGCAGTAACTGTATTCAATTATGAAATGTTTAAATAGGACTCATGTGGCTTAAAATCCTGATGAGTCTTTTTATAATCTGTGCATGCACTTATTCTTCCTTTGGCATTCTGAAGTAAACCAGATATGCAAATTTTCAAAACTGTTTTATAATTATTTCCACCCTCAAAAACTGACGGACCCGACGGCTACCAGTATTATTAGTATGATTTAACAAATGAGAAGCAGCTGTTTTTAAAAAGGCCATTTGGAGAAGGATCTGCTATGTTTGGGGGAGATTTTTCTGTATCTGAAAAGGCTGATTTAGTAGAGATGGAAGGGAAACAAAACTCTGGTCGCTATATCAATGTGTTGGAAAAAAGTCTTGTCCCATTAATTTTTTTGGTGGAATGTTGTTATAAAATCGAATATGTATACTAATACCCATCGGAGAGAGAGAGAGAGGGAGAGAGAGAGAGAGAATTAATATGAAATAAAATCCAAATTCACCTCAGGGAATAATTTTATTTCAACCGACGAAAAAATAAAATTCGTCAGTTTTATTCAACCCCAGTATAGACGGAGTTCGTATCGTAATTAGAAATTTAACTGTAAAAGCTAAAAATGAAAAAGAAAAACGTCGAAAAACTAATACAGAATGTATCTATTTCAATGGATAAATTCTATATAGATAAACAAAAACTTGGAGTGTTGTTAAAGGGAGATGAATGATCCTGAGACACCCGGAATAGGTATGGCATATGAAACTAGAACTGGACGAAATAAAGGCTTCAGGTCGAAATTCCAATAATCTGAAGAAGGCCAGAGCGTACAACGGCCGAAACGTCGTGAATAAGGCAACGAAGATGAGGACAATAGCTTTGTTCATGATGACGGTCGTCTTTGAGTATAGAATCCAGAGGTTAGCAGTGAATATTTCGAAGACAGTAGGGAAGCGTAGTTCAGGTTAGCAGTGGATATCCCGGTAAAAGCAGCAGAGCGTAGTTATTCCTTCTGTTCCTCTTCGCCTGACAAGCTGGCACTGGACATTCGGATAGAGTAAACAAAATGGCCGCCTTTATACACGACGGATTGAATATTCTACGCCTTCTGATTGGTTAACCCTTCTCTTGGTGAATTATAAAGTGAGTCAAGTCATTTAGGCTGGCTTACTAGTACATATATATATATATATATATATATATATATACAAAAAAACTGCAACAAATAGTCCGAAAAATGTAAATAGTGTAAATAATTAGAATACCTCACCCCAAAAATATAGACAGAAACCTAATATTTATATAAGCTTTTTTTAAGTGAAAATGTCTAGCAAACCCTTGAAGCACGCATGCGCGTTTAGGTGTATATCAATAAGTAAACGAGAGCATTTTATAACTTACAGAAATCTGTTGGGAATTCATCACTCATCAACTCAGCCTCGTCATCATCGATTTCACTGAGCAGGGAATCTAGGTACTGATCTGTTTCTCCTTGTATCGCGTCTATTTTTACTTCCTGATAATTGGGTTTCGTTTCCGCTTTTACTGTCTCTTCTCCACTTGGTTTGTCTGATTCTTAAAAAGAAGTAAAGAAAAAGCTTCACTTATAAGAATGAACAAACAGATGGAATAAAAATAAAACAAACAAAAATAACAAATAGTGAAAAAAATTTTAATAATTAACAAAAATGAAAACAAAAATAAAATAAAATAAACAGATGTATGTATAGCGTAGCGATTATCAGCGCAAAAAGTTGGCTCAGCCAGCCGAGTTCGAATTCCAGTTTAGGTAGTGGGTAAAGATATGAATACATCTCTCCTCGCTCGCCAACCATAGGTTAAACAGTAGAGCAATCTAGCCTTGGTTGGCAACCAGTCTAAAAGAACAACAAAACCTGAGTCGGTACCTCAAAGGCAGATCGAGGTACTTATATACACTATTTATATTCAAACTAATCTCCGTTTCTTTGTTGTTGTTCTCACAGCGCTTCGACTGTTGTTTCCATCCTGCCTTCATCAGGCGTATACTGATCTGGGTAACCGACAGGAAATTGGAACTGGTTACTAGAAGTGAAAGAGAATAGGAAAACTTTAGTCGGGAGAAAGAACGTAAAAGGACAGGGTCCAGGAAGACAGAAGATGGCAATTGGCTTTGCATTTAAATCTTTGAAGGTTATAGATGAAAGGGAAGAGGGAAAATGGAAGAGAGTCCCACACACAAAAATGCAAGAGTATAAACTACTAGAATAAAACTGATTCATATGATCTATACGCCACCATATTCCTTAGCAGATAGAAACTATAAGAATAGAACTGATTTATATGCCGTCATATTCATTACCAGATAGAATCTATTAGAACAGAACTGGTCTATACGATCTTTACGCCGCCATGTTCTTTACCAGATAGAATCTATTAGAACAGAACTGGTCTATATGATCTATAAGGCGCCATGTTCTTTACCAGATAGAATCTATTTGAACAGAATTGGCCTACATGATCTATAAGGCGGCATGTTCCTTACCAGATAGAATATATTAGAACAGAACTGGTCTATCCGATCTTTACGCCGCCATGTTCTTTACCAGACAGAATCTATTAGAACAGAACTGGTCTATACGATCTATACGCCGCCATGTTCTTTACCAGATAGAGTCTATTAGAACAGAACTGGTCAATACGATCTTTACGCCGCCATGTTCTTTACCAAATAGAATCTATTAGAACAGAACTGGTCAATACGATCTTTACGACGCCATGTTCTTTACTAGATAGAGTCTATTAGAACAGAACTGGTCTATATGATCCGAATAGTGATCAGTACAGAGATATAGGAATAGAGTACAGAATAGAAATGGCGATCTGTATAGTAATAGAAGATACTTTAAACGTCATGCTACTTTCTACTTATACGTTTCCCACATGGTCACGTGGTTTAATTAATTCAATAATGGGATTGCCTGTGTTTGCCCACTGGCGATCTATGTTCAAACTCAAGTGTCGCCAGCGACACTTTATTCCTATAGAACAGATGTCGACTTTGGACTGTCAGATGTCAGTTTACCTGGAAAGAAACAATGCAGTTATTAATAAGAAGAGTTGAAATTAATGCATGCAATATTTCATTGATTTAGTATCACTTCTTCATAGTCAGCCTCGTACAAGACATTTTGGTTTTATTTCTTTAATAGCTTTATGTATTCCTACATAACTTAGTGTTTAACGAGAGAGAGAGAGAGAGAGAGAGAGAGAGAGATAGAGAGAGAGAAAGAGAGAGAGAGAGAGAGAATAAGTTTAAGAAGTAAAATCCTTCATAATTTGAAGTGAAAGAACATTCTTCTGGTTCCATATCACGGAGTTCCTGGCATTGATGTAAATAGAATCCAAGAGTCGCATTAAAACTCGGACCTTTCTTGACTAATGATTCTAAAACAGTTCTCTCTATATATCTTAATAACAGACAAGATTGTCCAATAAATGCAGCCCGGTGACCGAATCAAACATATATTCAAAAATAAAAGACGGTTGCATATCAGTCTGTTGTATTTATGTAGACACCGAGATTCATGTAAAAAAAAATCGACGTCGCCTAGCTAATGACTGTAAAACATTTCCCTGTGCCGTGCCAGACATTTTTGTCGTCAGAATAAACACATTTAAAAGTCAAATATAGACATTTTCTCTTCCCCAAATTATAGTTCATAACTTCAGTTTACTTAAGCATTTAGACGTAGTGTCATGGTTAACAAGTTTGTCCCGCTAGATTAGTTACGACTGAGTAGTGAGTTCGATCCTCACTGGGTACTCCATACTTTCGGTCTTGTGCCACATCTAAGCTACGCTGAGTAAAATGCCATAATTATAATTTAGTATCTTACACATTTCTAAATTTACTATTCATCCATTCATTGGATATTGCTGTCTCATCTGGTCTGGTGCTTTTGCTGTATATTTAGACTTTCTTGATAAAATCCAAAGAAGAATCTGCAATGCTATTGGTCTTGACATGGCATCTCGGTTTAAGTCGCTTTCCCATGGTGGTCACGTGTCTTACCTATGATATTTTTATAAATGCTTTCATGGTAATTGTTCTGGTGAAGTTTTTCTATGATACATAGACTTTATGGATTTAAGCGCTGGACTAGATTGGTAGCAAGGTCTCATCATTTTACAGTTGAAATGGTCAGATGTAGCCGTAAGTTCTATGCTAACAGTTTCTTCTCTCGCACTTGTGGAACTCTCTTCTGGTTTCCCGCTTTCCAGCCAAGTTTGATCTTCAAGAATTTAAATGTAATGTCAATTGTTATTTTTTTGTCTTCTTAATTCCAATTAATATCCCTTGATATAATAGACATGCTCATTTTACAAGTTGAAAATTTTCCCGACGGCATGTCTCTTCCAGGCATTTGTCTCAAACAAGCGAAGAAATATACAATAAAATAAATGCAAAGATTTCTTTATCGGTGAAAATCAATACAGAAACGAAAATGCACATACGCACACCAAATAAAACGAAAATGTATTAAAAATAAATTTGTGCGCATTAAAATATACTAGGCAACTAACCAAGAAGAAGGAAAAACTTTTTAGTGACATGAATTATTAAACTAATTTCGGAATCCGCTCCGATAAGTTTACGTCCAGGATCATAAAATGTCGCGGCTTTTCCCACAAAATCATAATACGCTGTGGGATAAGAATAACGCGAAGAAAATGATAAAAGATCTGTATAGGAAAATCTAACATCTAGTTACGTCTGACGTAAAATCTAACATCGTTACGTCAGATGTCAAAAACTGAATTTAAATGCTGAGTGTCCCGATATCGATTTTCGATATGAAACTGTGTCGTTGCTTATTCCTCTCCTTACCATTTGCCTATATATATATATATATATATATATATATATATATATATATATATGTGTGTGTGTGTGTGTATATATATATAGTAAGCTGATTCTATCAATGAACCGTTATTAGACTGAAGACGTTCCTTCTAGTAAGGGTAGGCGTCACCAAAAAGTTTTTTTACATCTTCTTATTTATATAGTAACACACACACACACACACACACAAACACACACACACACACACACACACACACACATATATATATATATATATATATATATATATATATATATAAAACCGTTCAATAATGAAAATACTTGTTTGTTGACACTATATTTTGAACAGAGTTTACAGAATAAGATCATTCTTTTCTGAAAATGATGTGAATAGACACTGAAATATCATCAAGAGTGTTAATCATTTACATAGATATATTAGGTCTATCCAGAAAGCATCTAGCCATTTTGTGTATCTCAATAGTAGTGGGACCTTGATTTTACTTGGCATTCAGAGCGGACTCTGTTGCACCTACATAAACAGAAATTATCCAGTATGTTTTCTAAGTCGTCGGTGAGATGCCATAATACGAGTACCAATACTTTGACCCTTCCTTTGCATTCATCATAACGAAGATCTTGCCTATTTTTTTACCTCTTATGCTGGATTTTACGGGAAAAGATCATAAAAGCGAAACTTGTCAGCCCATGTTTGACTTCCTGGTTTTTTTTTCTAAACCTAAACTGGCCATTGAAAAGAATCATTCAGAAAGTGGAAGAGATTAAGGAGAATGTTCAGCGGCAAATGATGGTCTTCTTACAATTACCGGTTAGTATTTTCTTCAAATCTGAATATGGCCAAAACAGATGCTGCTTTGGACAAGAGTAAAAAATGATATAGTAATGGTAGTATTAGCCTTTTTCCCTACAAGGAAACATTCAGGATTCATTGACCGAGCAATCAGTGATGATTTTGGTTGAAATATATAAAATCTTTCTCTTAAAACAATTTTTGCAGGAAAATAGGTTTCTCAAGTCCACTAACTGTTATCGCTCTTTTCAGTATTGATGGGGGTTTCAATCCTAACTTTTTATTTATTAGTGTGGAATGTCATCATCTTGATTATATCATTATTTTATCTTCGAGTTTCATGTGCTATCGATTTTAGTTGTTGCTGCTGTTGGTAGTCATCAATTGAAGCGGTTTATATTATTTGGTACGGTTCTTTGTGATTATGTAGCGCCAGTTAGCAATGTTTGAAGAAATATTATCTTCACCAAAACTTTCTGGCTTTACTCGCTCAAAGCATTTTTCACCATCAATCTTAGGAAGCAGTTGAGATACGACTAACTGTTTCAATATTGCTGAAAGGGTTTCGTGCTAGGCATATGGCATCCATATAAAAGTTTAGATCTGACAGTGTTATTTAAGAATATGACTCGATTTTTCATGTTGATGTTTTGGTTTTGTAGCAAATGACAGTGTTGGGAGAAACTACTTCTGGCGCTATACATTCTATGTTCAATTTTAAGAATATGACTCGATTTTTCAGGTTGATGTTTTGGTTTTGTAGCAAATTGTGGTGTTGGGAGAAACTACTTCTGGCGCTATACATTCTATATTCAATTTTAAGAATATGAGTCGATTTTTCACGTTGATGTTTTGGTTTTGTAGCAAACTGCGGTGTTGGGAGAAACTACTTCTGACGCTACACATTCTATGTTC